TGACATTGGACTAAGGACTGTTGAACGGCCGTGGTACAGGTACAAAGGCAAGCTGAAGAGTAAGCCCTCTTCTGTCAATATGCCTCATACTAACTTCGAGCGAGTTTGCCCCCTTGATAGAAGTAACTGGAGATTTTTGTGCCAGTGTGGTATCAGAAATTTCGAAATCAGTCGTATTGAGCGGATAAGTGATGAAAGGCAACGGCGAAAAGCGTCAAATAATATTCCTGTGACTGTGTCCCGAGAACCTCGCTGTTGCACAATATTGTGAACTTGTATGCCAGTCACTATCGGTACTGAAGCGTTACATACGACACAAGCATAAAAACTGAATGAGGTTGTCGAATCTTCATACGTCGAAATCGAGAATGAGATTCTATCATCATATAATGTTAATTTGATTGGAGTTTAGAGATTTTTTCTTCATTTTTTAAGTATTTCGGTTATTTTCGTATCCTTTATTAACACAATGTTTAACAAAAAATATTTCCCCTCATCACCATCATCAGCAACAGCATCGTCGTCATCATCATCATCATCATCAGCAGCAGCAGCAGCAATGGTAGAACTCCCGTCTGTTCGCTCCGCAACTAAGAATCCGACCTGTTCCTTCTATATGTCTCAGTTGTGTGCCAATGTCTGGATTTTTCAATCACCGATGTTCTCCGTCCACATCTATGTTTGCCCCTTCTTCTTTTTCCCTAAGGTTGTGTAAGGTTTGTACTACAAGGAAATACCAATCTAACCAAATTCGTACCTATTCCTCTCAGAGTATCACTTTTTCGATTCAGTCGGAACATTTTTAGCACCCCTTTAAACCTGCCTTGTCCAAATGGTAATATTTGCCCTAAAACGAAACATTTGAGATCCATTGACCGAGCAGCCAGTACTGCTTTTAGTCGAAATTTATAAAAACTTTCCTTTAAAACAATTAAAACAAAATAGGTTTCTCAAGTCCAGTAGCTGTTATCGCTCTTTCTAGTATTGAAAGAGTTTCCTTCCTAACCTTTTATTTGAAGTGGTGTGGAATGTTAACATTTTGATTATATCATTATTTTCTATTCGAGTTACATCTGCTGTCCATTTTAGTTGTTGCTGTTGTTGGTAGTCCTCAAGTGATTTGGTTTCTGTTACTTATTAAAATTAAATATGGTAATAACAGAAATAACCATTTTTACGCTTCTGTCATTCTTCCAATAACTCCCCCTTTTTTGAGTTTGAGTTTAGTCATCTCAATAGCAACAACAAAAGTAATCATTACTAATTATATTATTATTATTATTATTATTATTGGTAATATATATTGCTTCTTTTAGCATTTATATTATTATCCATCTTCATCGTATTGCCATTTGTAAATATTTTCTTATTTTTTTTTGTTATTAATAATTTATTATGCTCAAACATTATTTTATTTTCTGTTTCGAGTTTTCTATTTATTTTTTTATATATCCGCTTTTATTTTCTTTTTTAACATTTTATTGTGTTGTTTCTGTTTATATCCTTGTCTTCTTTTCTTTCCGACTACAAAATGAATGGGTGAATTGCAAAAATGTCCCATTTAAATTACCGTGTCCAAATTTGTTTGTAGCTTTCCACTCTCAAACATTTTACGACCATTGATTCGTTTATTTTGTGTCTTTGCCCATTAAGCGGTTCGCTTGTTCAGATCTGTCGGTCGAAGTATGAAACAGACTTTTTCAAAAAGACCCAGGCTTCCAGCATTTCAGATTTCCAAGAACAAAAACAGAAAATGAAATTAAACAAACGTCTAGCATTTCAAAAGCACTTCTTACTAATTTCAAAATGACACATATACACAAAAGGCAATAAACCTATCTGTTTAAGCTATGTTTACAATTCTTTGGCAAAACATTGAATTGGTGCCGGAAGAATTTTGATTTCGAAAATAAAAGACAGCCATTAGAAGAAAAAATCATTATGTCCAGAACAAAAAACAACTTATTACGTGACCATTCAAAGACACGTCACTCTTCAAAACAAAACATTCTATCTACCAATGATCAATTCGTTATATATTGCAAAAACAATGCCAAAGAAATTATTATTAATAATAATAATAATAATAATCAAAATCAGCAGCAGCTGAGGTAGTTCCTTTCGTAGTTGGCACACTCGGAGCTATTTTCAGGAATCTTTCTGCCTCGCGGAAAGCCTTGAAAATACTGATATCATTGGGAGTACCCAGGTGGCAGCACTCCTTGGAACAGCTCATGTACCGAAGAAAGTGTTACGTGTCCAAACTGCTGGAAGATGATGAGATATGATGATCTTCATCCGGTCGACATATCTAAGAGCCGGAGAAGGTATCAAATCAAATAATAATAATAATAATAATAATAATAATAATAATAATCTTTTGTGATTTTTTTCGTGGAATCTATCTGTCACGAAAGGCACCTTAGTGATACCTGACATCATTGGGAATGCGCAGGTAGCAGCCCTGCTTGGTACAGCTCATGTGCTGAGGAAAGTTTTGTGTCTACAACGTGCGGGTTGTGGAGACGATATCATTAACATCACACTGACGAAATATTAAAGAGGATATAAATAATAATAATAGTATAATAATAAAAATGACAGTGAATTTGAAGTAATGTTGCATTTAAACACATCCACAATCGCAGTAATAATAGGAGCACTAGGAATGATTAAAAGGTATAGTGATTAAGAAAAATCTGAGGAAACCCCTCACGTTACGAGAAACAAAGTATTGTGTGCATGTGCATCGTTCCCATACTTAAAATAAACTCCCTTAATATAAAGTGCATAATAATTAAACTCCCTTAATATAATGCCCATAATAATTAACTCCCTTAATATAATGCACATAATAATTAAACTTTCTTTATATCATATGCACAGTAATTAAACTCTTTTAATATAATGCGTATAATAAATGAACTCTCTTAATATTTTTCTAAGAAAAACCTATGAGATAGCACTTACGTTTTTTAAGTGTTATTAATTAATGTAGTTTATTGGATTTGATAGTTCGTGTGGTCAGGATGTAAGGTGAAGGCCCAGAACATTGTAGCTTTAAATTTTAAAGTATACTCTAACTCAAATAAAAATTATCGATAGAATATTGATTCTCATTCTAGATCTTAGCTACGTAAAGTTATCGAACTTTTTCTGCTTATATGTCGAGAACATTTCCCTTGGTACTTTACTATGAAATTTAGAATTTGGGTAGAAATCCCTACTTTTGTGACATCATTTCTTCATGTAATTGACGGTTTGGGCATTTGAAAAGCAAGATTTAAACCAACATACTCATATTGGAGTAACCAACTTTAATCCTGGTGTACACGTAGGACTACATAGATTCTTGATAAAAATCCAAATAAGAATCTGCATTATTACTGGTTCTAACCTGACATCTCATCTTCAATCTCTTTTCTGCAACTGTAATGCAGCTTTCCAGTGTCTTTTCCTATAAATACTTTCATGGTAATTTTTCTCATGAACTTTCCGCTAGACTTTATGAATTTCAGCGCAGGACTAGATTGGCGGCAAGGTCACATCATTTTACAGTTGAAATAGATGTAACCGTAAGTGTTATGTTATCAATTTCTTCTATCGCACTTCTCGCTTGTGGAATTCTATTTCGGCTTCTGGCTTTCCAACTTTGATCTTCAAAAATTGAAATGCAATGTCATTCATTATCTTCTGTCTTTTTAATTCTTATTCTTTTATTGTCCTCCTCATATTCTCTAACACCCAGTAATTCCTTGCGTCCTAGTGTCTTTATTGCCTTGCCTGCGGTGAAATGATTAAAAAAAAAGATTATGTCTTTTCGATTGGCGGCTTATTTAATTTAAATAGCAACCTTTCAATATTGGTTCCCTTGCTGCAACATTCCTACTGTGAGAAGTGGAGATTTTGACGAAGGCGCAAAGTAATGTTCGTTATTGCATTATTATTATTATTATTATTATTATTATTACTCGCTGTATTCTATTACGATAAGACTTACGACCACTTTACATCGAAAACACTAGCCGGTTCCCGTACGATCACCGAAGTTAAGCAACTGTGAAGTCTGGACAGTAGCTGAATGAGCGAGCGTTTGTGAATGTCGGATGCTGTAAGCTTGGATATACTGTAGAATGGCTCGGAATTGCTAATTGGGGAGCCGAGTTCCAATTTCTGTTCGGTTTAATTATATTCACTTACATACAAATAGCCGTGGAAAAGGTATGAATCAACCTCGTCTCCCCCAACTATGGGTTAATTAGTAAACCTTGTATCACTAAACCATTATTATCTTTTAAAAAACCTCACGTTTGAAAACTATTTCCTGGCTTTAAATGACATACAAAAGGTTGATAAACCATAGAAAATCAATCAATCAATCAAATCAATTGTAGTCATCTTTTTTTTATTTTTTTGCTTTTGTTCTACAGCAGATGTTCGCCTTGAAAAAAAATTTCGTTTAGTTTTCAGCTGCTGGTTTTACAAATTATTATTATTATTGTTGTTGTTGTTGTTGTTCTTCTTCTTCTTCTTCTTTCATTGATTTTTGCACTTACTTTTCCTTTAGCTCTCCGGTTCCTAACTTTCAAATACTACAACCCTCTCCTCTTCAAAGTCCTGTATCGGAGTTAAGTTGTTTCAGCCTTTGCCAGAGACTTGCCTTCTCCTCCTCCTCCTCTCCTTATCAGGAAATAGAAAGTGCGAGATCATCGAAAAGCTTGTTAAATGAACTTTATGGCGTTCCCGATAAGATTAGAGCACGGCACATGTTTACGATGAAAGCGCGCCGAGCGTCCATATTTGTGTCACGTTGAGAAGTAAAACAATGGCGGCCGCTGAGCATGTTTCCCGCCGTTCTTCTTTCTTCAATCCACCGCGGATCGCCCTTTCAAACGGCGACCTTTCAGTTTCATTCAGGCACTCAAAACGACACGCTGACGAAATTGCATCACACAGAAGACAACAAAAGGCAAAACTAATGGGATTTGGCTACCACATGTCGTCAGTCCTTCTGAAGGATCATTATAATAAAATGGCGTTCTCGAGTTCACATGGCGGTGCAGAGAATAACAAAAAAATATAGAGTAAGGTATTGTACGATATTGTACTTGAAATATTCAAAAATTCAAAAGCTATATATATATATATATATATATATATATATATAATAATAAAAAGTTAATGTTCAAGTTTGAATTAGACCAGAGAGCAGTAGTATTAAAAAATATACATATATATAAAAAGATAAAATTTTAACATGTAGAGCTTTTAAGTGTAGAAAATTTGAAAAGCGGCTGATTTCGCTACCTTGGTTTCAACTTTTGTGTATCTTCAGGCGATTTCGGTCAACAGATTTACGAAATCAATTGAGCGGAATCGCCTGAAGATACCGAAAGGTTGAAACCAAAGTAGTGGAATCTTTCTATTTCTGTCTGTCTGCTTGTCTGTCTGTCTGTCTGTCTGTCTGTCTGTCTGTCTCTCTCTCTCTCTCTCTATATATATATATATATATATATATATAGCACTTTATTAGAATAAATTCTTTTAAATTATAATTAAATTATAATAATTATATGTATATTAACTTATAATATTATTACCTACAGTTATTCTTTTTTATACATGCATATATATATATATATATATATATATATATATATATATATATATATATATATATATATATACACACATATGGATATATTATGTGTGTGTGTGTGTGTGTGTGTGTGTGTGTGGTTCTTTAGTAAAGGACAAAGCGCGACATTTTCACTTTGACATAGTTTTTATATGAGAAATCTTTATTGATATATATAAATTTATATACCATTTTCCCATCTGAATACTTCACATACACAGGATGCTATAGGTAAACTGTTGTCATTTTATATTTTTAATTTAGCGCATGCGCTTTTTTGTTTTCGATTTTGTCGACAGCTCAGTATAGTAGGGTCATTTGGGCACCGGTCGTGAGAAAAAGAGCACCCTCACGCAATTTATTCCGCCAGAAATTTAGAAACGGCATTGCTGTACTGCTTGCCATTCATGCCTGAAGGTTCAATACAAATATTTCAAAGAATTTGCGTGTCAGTCTGAGGATAGTGCAGAGGATTTGAAAATATTTGGATGATATATCATAGTGTTTGGAATGATCACTAGTGATGGTAATGTTCTGCCTCCATTCATCTTCCCACGGGGCCTCAGACTTGAGGAGGTAGTGCTGCCCTAGGCCAAGAGGGTGACTGCTGGAAGACCCTATGTATGGAAACAGGACGCTGCACCATGCTGCACAAGCAGAAGGACCCAGTCATGGCTGTAGACAATTTCTGTAACTAAATCACCCTTTAAATCTGGTCACATAACGCCTCAGACTGCCAGGAGGCCGTCCAGAAGAGTTGCCGGAGATTCCGAATTCGTCTGGAGGCCGTGGTTAAAACTAATGGGGATTTTACTTAATAAATGGTATTTACTGTTTAGTATTTCAAGATATTTTAGTATAATTTTGGTAAATATATATGTTAAAATGAGATGTCAGTGTTTTTTTCATTTTTGCATAATTTAGACGACAATTTATTCATTGCACTCTCTCTCTCTCTCTCTCTTCGCATAAGCCGATGTATACTATGATCTTAATAAGTATAGATAGTATTTTTCTTTTCTATATACATCATTCTGTGGGGAATGTAAATATTATAGATCGAACATTATACATTATATATTTGCATACACATTATTAGATATTTTTCAATTGGGATTTTAGAAATACTTTTTATTTGGAATATTCTCGTAGAAATCTCTTTTTTACTCCGCTCACGATGTGTTCATTCCTCAAAACCTCACTTATCTATCTATCTATCTATCTATCTATCTATCTATCTATCTATCTATCTATCTATCTATCTATTGTCTTCATTTTCTATCTATCTATCTATCTATCTATCTATCTATCTATCTATCTATCTATCTATGCCATGCTCTCTCTCCCTCTCTCTCTCTCTCTCTATATATATATATATATATATATATATATATATATATATATATATATATATATATATATATTTGATTGGATAGATGTGAGTTTGTGACCCTGGGTTTCACGCTTTAGCGATCGTCAGACAAACTGATTAATGTTTTAAAAATTTGGGTTTGTGTAGATTGCGTGTATTGGTATTTATTATTGGAAGTGGTGGGGGAAACTTCGTCGTTTTGTCATTCATCGTACTAACGCAAACATCGATGTATGCAGACACATATACATACTTGGTCGTCCGTCCATATATATATATATCACAGACTTTCCTTACTTATCTGTCTATAACTATTTTAATAGGGACCAGATTATCCAGACGAAGACATAAATCCGACTAACATCCTACCGGGAGTCGATTATTTGTAAAGTAGAAAAACACCTTCATGAGTAAATTTGATGACGGTTAAAAGTAATTTAAGAATATACAAATTCATAAGCAGAATAAATTCAAATGATCGCAATGAGATAAACATCATTTTGGTTCAGAAATTTAGCTTGGAAATGTCCGAAATATGGATCTGTCGAAATATAATAGAAAAAAAAACCCATAGATATAAAGATATTCAATATGCGAACGTACAGTTGTCGCTAAAGCATTTATTTTTGAAGTAGTAGTCTGTGGAAATGTTTGAATAAGAATCAAGTAAATTATAAAACACTATGTACGCCGAACAACGGAGAGAATTGATCTGTTTCAATTTTGCCAGGGGATTGGATACCATCGGAAGTCGGAGACCATGGGGAAAATGACAAGATAAGTAGTTTATGAGTTCATAAAACAAATTCGGAGATCTACTTTGTTGATTAACCATTAGCGAATAGCAGATAAGTAAAAAAAAAAAAAAAAAAAAAAGAATAATAAAAAAAAACGATTTCTAATCTCTTTCACTGATGCAAACAGTTGGCAGAAATTTGATTTAATAGAATTAAATAGTTTTGAAATCAGTTTGTTTTCTCGCCTTCTTTCTCTGAACAGTTTTTGGCTTTCGTTTTATTTAAAAGAATTTATTTACTTTCTCCCGATTACACTTCGGCCTTTTTAACAAATAAGACAAAATTAAAAAAAAAAAAAAAGACAAAACAAAAGATCAAATTAAAATAGCAAATTTTTCCCATTTCTTTCTAAAAATCTATAGTAGATACATTTGATAGTGTGCAAAAGCCGAAAATGTATCAGGCTGCCGTTGGATTTCGCTTCGTTAGAGTTTATGAATTCCCACTTGTCTTTAGTGTGTGCTATCTGACGGAGGAAAGATTGAAAAATAAGACAGTTTTGTATCTTTCTTAAATATATTGGGGAGATCTATCCAATCATTTGCATCGTCGGGAATTTAAACCGCAATTTATTATCAAGAAGATTTAATTCTTTTGTTTTTAAAGGCAGGCTTTTGTTTGTTTTTTGTTTTCTCTCTCTCTTTTTTTTGGCCATATTCATTTTCAAATTCTTTAACCGATTATTCACAAAGTATCTATTTATTTTATCGAATTAATCATTTAGAGATGTTGTCCTTTTGACAGCAACGCAAAGAAAGCTGAACGGATTAAATTCGGTTCTTTTTCTTTTCTTATAAATATGAGGAGATTAAATTAAAATATTTTGAAAGAACCAACAGCAAATGAAATATGCAATTTCAAAGTGGTTTTTCTTGGAGTAGTGGTGAAAGAGCTGGACATAATTCCGAAAATGAATTTCCATAATAGCTTTTTAAATCATGACAGCAGCAAACAACGAAAAACATGACACTAAATACTAAAAACTTGATCAAACATTCGTTGGAGATTGTCTCATTCCATTTGTCATGTCCCATCAGGACAGGAACATTGATTACCCTTCACAGCCTCCTGTCTTTTTATTGTGCCAAGTAATTCTTCCTTTTTGTAACCTTTTTGACCTTTGGATATTTGCTCTGCTAGCTATTTTCTCAAACTCGTCAAAGTATTTATCTTCAGTATGGCCCATAAGTGTTAAATTCTCCGAAGTTTCTTTATTCATTTTGAATTTCAAGAAGTTCATTTCTTTCATTATGGTTTTGGCATCAATTCCCATTTTCCTTAAAACTTCCATGTTTCTGAGTCTGTCTATATTTCTGAGATGAGGTATTATGTACATTATTTACATTATTCGAACTATTGTCCTCATCTTTTTCGCCATATCTATCACAACGTTTCGGCCGTTGTACGCTCCGGCCTTCTTCAGGTGGTTGGAATGTCGACTGGGGTAGACTGTTCCAGTTCCATCTGCCATGTTTAATGGATGTCAATTATCAGTTATCTCCTGTTAATTTTCCCTCTGAAAGTTCTCCACTGCCTTAACCGGGTATTGAACTCGCACTCTTTGGGTCCCGTCACTGGATCTAACCAACGCCGTTATCCACTGTGCCATGATAACAACATAGTTGCAATATGAACCCTGGTAAAAACATGCAATGATAACAGCAAAAGTGCAATATGAGCACTGGTAAAAATGGTTGCTGAAGACATTAGGTTTATAATACCCAGAAATTCATACCCAGATGTCCTCAAGGACACATGGCACAGTGGATAAATGCGTTGGTTAGATCCAGTGACAGGAGTGTGAGTTCAATACCCGGTTAAGGCAATGGAGAACTTTCAGAGGGAAAATTAACAGGAGATAACTGACATCCATTAAACATGGCAGATGGACATTCCAACCACTTGAAGAAGGCCGGAGCGTACAACGGCCGAAACGTTGTGATAGATATGGCGAAAAAGATGAGGACAATAGTTCGAATAATGTAAATAATGTTCCATGTTTCTCTGAAGCTTTGTTAATAGTATTCTCAGAAGGACACCCCCGTTGCATCAAATCACTTTTAATCTGTTAAAAATCATTTTCAGTGTATGACACTGAAAATGATCAGACATTACGTAGCAGTTCATTACTCTTCTTATTTTTCTGTTCTTTACCTTACTTTCTGAAATGTAAATTTTACTATACCATTGTCCATTCGGATTTCTGCCTTATATTTTCGGTTGTCTGTTAAAATCCTATCCAGGATTTTGACCTTCCCCATACCTTAACTTACAACTTCGTTTGTCACTTTTGCTTTAACGTGATGTATTCCGTTTTCTTACTTTGAAGAGTCAGTTCATTTTTCTTACTTTCAACGGTTACATTACGTAATATTCAACTTAAGCTGTTTTCTCATAGAGAAGTGACAAATTTAAAAAATCGGGCATATTGCCACTCAAACTCGGATCTTACAGTTGGAAGGTTAATGTTCTAAGAACTCGTCTATAGATCCAGTAGGCCTTTTTGTGTTTTTTATGAGTGTGTAATTTTTGGCATTTGAAGGAAATAAATAGGACACCTAAAGTAAAATGGAAAATTATAAACAGGACTAGAACTTTTAAAACTTGGGATGACCCATGCCCTTTATGCCTCCGTGAGAAACTGCACATTATTAAGTTTCTAAATAATAAAAATATATTAAACAATAGACATGAGTTAACGATTTTTTGCCGACATCATCAAATTTTTGCATTGAATAATTAGCTTAAAAACAAGCATACAATAATATAATTTTTATAATCCATAGCCCTAATAAATAGTTTGAATACCCTACAAAAATAGATAACCCTTTATAAAGTCGTCAAAAAACAAATGTTACGGCAGTTTTTATATACACAAAACCCTTTCATAAAGAAATAAAATAAAAAAAAATCTCCATAGACACGTAAACCAGACGGGGTTAAAACATCTTCCGTTTTAAATTTAGACACCCCTACCTTACCCTGACTTGACATCTATGAATGTAACTCTATACTGATACATATTATTAACACCCAACACACCTCCCTATTTAAACAATCGCCCTGGCTGTTAGCATGGAAATTTTGTTTTCAATTATGAATATGCTATTAAAACACGTAAATTTCAGAAATGTTATTCCCAAAAAAAATTTCGCTTGAAGATGGAACAGAGCTTACTTTAATTCAATTTAATTCAAATAATTATGTAGCGCGTTGGAATCATATTTTTAAATAAATAATTATACATACATACATACATACATACATATATATATATATATTTGATTATAGGGGTGAAGGTTTTGTGCAGAACCATCCACACTTTTTGAAGAGCCAAATACAGAGACCTGGTGCACTATGTGCCACAAGGTTCCCCAAACAACCCTCTGAAGGTTTTGAATTCAGAGTTGTCCTTCTCCTAGACCAGTTGCCATCCAAGGCTATAGAACCCAGTCTGTCCTGCTATTTACCGATAGCTGGGAGGAGGAGAAAAGGTTTCATACCTTTCCCAGGGGGGTATTAGCACGTAAGTGAAAGTAATTGATTCAACTGGAATCCTCAATCCAATTCTCCGATTCAAGCCGCTATCTATTATTCTCCGTGCCTTCAAACATATATATATATATATATATATATATATATATATATATATATATATATATATATATGTATCTGTGTGTGTGTGTGTGTGTTTTATATATATATATATATATATATATATAAAACACACACACACACACACACATATATATATATATATATATATATATATATATATATATATATGTGTGTGTGTGTGTGACGTGGGACACCTCATGGCGATGTAATGGTTAGAAACCTCGCTAGAACAATTACGACTGAGTAGTGAGTTCGATCATCACTGGTCGCCCCTTACATTCGGCCTTGTGCCACATCTAAGCTACGCTTGGAAGATCACTATATATATATGAGTGCGTGTGTGTATATATATAAGGTATTCTCTCCCTTCTCTCCTCCCCTCTCTCTCTCTCTCTCTCTATATATATATATATATATATATATATATAAGTGAACTTTGAAGTCAACACTCAGAGGCGACAGAATTTTTCATGCTAGACG